TCTCTCTATCTCTCTCACACACACACTCTCGGCCCTTTCACGCACTTATACCCATGCCAGCTGCACAGAGAGATCCTAAAAAGGATATTTCAGCATCGTTGCGTCGCTATCTTAATAATTTTCTTACTCGTTTATGATTATGTTATGGTCGTCCGCTCGCTCGTTTTCTGTTTGTCACATTTCACAAGACTCCACATACATACAGACATATGTGGCACAAATATCTTATGTATACTTATATTTATATCTAGTTATTATTATATTTTTTCCATTCTGGATATTTTTGTGGTTGCTTTTTAGGTGGATTTCATAGCATTTGGCATAGGGGTTTTGTCTGCTCTTTGCGGTCGGTGCGAATTGTCGTGGGTTTCTTGTTCACTCAACTCTCGCTCTGTCGTCGCTCTGTTTGGCTTTTAGTATTTGTGTGGCTAGCATCCTTATGATGGCTGTCATTAATGTGCTTGCTGTTTGCCGTAGAGCTGTAGAGTCGTCATGCATGATGCACTTTTAGCCCTACCACAATTTCCTGTGACCTATCGCCTGCTACTCTCACTCACTCTCTCTCTCTCTCTCTCTCTCTCTCTCTCTTTCCGTATCTGTGTCTGTGTCTGTAGTGCTCTCTATCTCTTTCACTCATGGCCACACACACATACACACATATATACATAGACTGGCACAACTTTCTTGGTCAATTGTGTTATATGTCTCTCACTCTCTGTCTCTCTCTCTCTCTATCTCTATAAAACACACGCTCACTCTGTCTCTTTCTCTCTCTATCTCCATCTATACCGTCTTCGACATTGACTCTCTCACACTGTCTACAACATCTTCTCTACACACTGTCTGTCTCTCTCTCTCTTTCTTTCTTTCTCTCTCTCTCTCTCTCTCTCTCTCTGTCTCTTTCTGTTCTTCTGTCTTTCTATATGCTCTATCCACAGGATGTTCCAGCACTGCGTGATAGCATCTATCACATTGATTCCTTTGTCCTGGGCGCTCCAAAGAGCGCCATTTTCGTGGGATTACAAAACGATTTTCTATGCGATTTCGCATACAGCCTCGAGCACGAGCAGCGCAAGCAGCTGGACGAGCAACTGCAGCAGCAATATGCTAATCAGGATTACAATCACCTGGAGCCAAGCAACAGCAACGACAGCAACGGCAGCAATGGCAGCAACAGCAGTCAAGATTGCAACTATGAGGCGCAGCAGCAACAGGTGGCGCCGGTGAGGGTCGATTACGACTGCGATTACGAATGTGATTACGATTACGGTTACGATTGCCCGAGCAACAATGGGCCCGAGCGCCGGCTGGCGTACGACAATGCCTGTCACTATAAGCCAGAGCAGGCGGCGCAGCTCGGCGAGCAGCAGCTGGAGGCAGAGGGACATGTGGAGCAGCTGCGGGCAGAGGAGAACCAGCAGGCGGCGGCGGCGGCGGCGGACGAGGACGATGAGCAGGAGGAAGAGGAGGAGGAGGAGCAGGAGGAAGACGATGAGTACGACGATGGCATCGGCTTCAGCTGTGACAGCGACAGCGCCACCGTGCCCGAAGACGATGAATTCGTGCTCGTAGCTGGCCATTGCATGGCTCTAACCGGTGCTCGCCTGGAGCTGCCCAGCTCGAGCAACTCGTACACCAGCTCGCTGCAGTGCAGCACGCCCACAGGCACCGCCTGCTCGTCAACGTCCACCGAAATGGACGCGATACTGCCACAGCTGACGCCGCCGCCGCCGCCAGCGCCGCTGCAGGTGCAGCAATTGCAGCTGCAGCAACTGGAGGCAACTGGAGGCAAGGCGAAGCCAAAGGCCAGGCGCGGCTTGAAGTTCTTTCATAAAATCATCTAAGCCAGCGTGGGCGTCGGCGTCGGCGTGGGCGTGACTGCTGCTCTCCGGATAGTCTTAACTATAGCACAATGAATCACAGATCAGAAATCAATTGGACGCACACACATACACACACACATGCACACGCACACACACACATTCCCATTCCACTATTCGGCTCGATATGCGCTTACCCCTTCTCCCCCCCTTATTGGCCAGCCTTTGTGTTTGTGACTGTGAGCCAGAGGTCGCTGCCACTTACTCACTCGTGTTCATACTCAATCGAACGCTCATTGCCCTCACTGCCAACCCCGAGCACCCACCCCCACCCGAAGCGCCTCTAAAACTCTCTCAATTGGCTTTCCTTAGCATTTACCAGCAGCGAAGCACAATTATTTTTAAGCCCATTCGATTTTCACTTCAAATGTATTGTTTTCCCCTTTAAATGAATTCGTAGCCCTGGTTGCAAATTTGATTTATCTTTTTCATGATCAATCTGTCAATCAATCAAAAAAAGAAAATGTGGCCAACATCTATTTCTCTTTCCATTTCCATTTCCATTTATGTTTGCATTGTTTTTCGAAAAATGTTTTTTGGTTTTGTGAATCAAATTCAATCCGCATTTAGTTAAGTGACATTCATATAAAACATATTAGCAATGGAATTTAAATATAGAAACGTTAAATATTGCCGCGCTTACCCAGTGATATATATAAGATATCACACGAAGCCGCAATTAACAATCAAGCATACCATTTGTGTCATAATTATTCCTATTTACGTATTGCTGTAGCGGATAATTCCAAACTGAATAGTTAACATTTATCAAACGAATTAAACGAAAATGAATAAATAAATAATAATAAAAAATACAAAAATAGAACAAAAAAGTAAAGAAATGAAATTAAATTATACAAAAATCTTGCTTTCTTTGTTATATTAAGTATACGCAATAACGGAAAATTTCAAGTGAAAGTAAGTTTAGACGGAAACGGCTGAGTGACTCGTCTAGGATATTTCAATTAACAGTGATTGCCAGCTACAGAGTCTCTAGCTTAAAACTACTTTGTGTACGAAACTAATAAGCGAACCCCCCTTGAGCTTGTCAAGTCAGAGTATTAATAACACGCGAATTATAATAAACAAGCAAGACTGTTTTAAGCTAAAGTGACCGACTAGCAAATACCCTGATGCATCAGAACTTTTTTTAACTGCTCTATAGCTGGTGCCGAATCTTACGTGAGATAAATGTATTTTCTAAATAACTCATGTCTTACTTAACGGACTTGAAGGATATTTTCAATATCATCTACATTTGCTATTGAAAGTTTGTCAGTTTATTTAAAGTGCAAACTCTTTCGCATTTTTCTATAGTTGCTGAACTGAATTTAAAATTAAAAGACTTTTAACATAATATAGGATTTAGGTGATAATCCTTAAATAGGAATTATTAGCTACTTCTTAATCAAACTTGATCCTTACATGATGTATAGAATATGGCTAAAAAATTCCAAAGCTCTAGCTCCTACAGGTTCTGAGATCGAAACGTTCATAGACAAACAAGATGAGCAAGCCGATCCTTGAGGTAGATAGGCAAACAGAATAACGAAAGAATAAATGGACGGATAGATCGAAATCGACTCGTCCTGTCCAAGAATCTAAGGGTCTGCCACGCCTCCCACTGCCTCTTGCACTCATTTCCACAAATCCATTAGAGCCCGACTTTCCATTTTCATCAATAGGTTCTGGGCATAAAATAAATAAAAAAGGCTGTTATGCAATATCTAATAATGACAGCCCTAACAAGGCTTAAGCACAGCAGATACCCAATTACGAGACTAAGCAAAATCGAATTGAGTAAATGTAAATATTATTGAAAAACCTAGAGTGGAAAAAAAAAGAACATAAACCAATTACTAAAGCATTAGTTCAGGTTCCTATGCTCGTAAGGGTTCATTGAACTAATATTAAAAAACAATAAAAAGGATAGCAGAAGAAGAAGAAGAAGAATAAAGCAATAGCAAATAGCCTAGAAGTTGTTGTTATAATTGAAGATGTAGTGGCACGCGGCTTAAAATGATGGACACTAAGTGGAGATGGAGATTGAGATGGAGATGGAGATGGAGATGGAGATGGAGATGGATATGAAAATGGAAATGGAAATGCAAATGGAAATATTGTATAATAAATAGTGGGAAAATGGAATAGGATAGGCAAATGGATAAAATGTTTGACTTGCGTATTTGATTATAAATGCAGTTTGAGGTGCTCGGTCGAGCCACAGCGACGACCACAATGCGGCAATTTAAGCAAGGGGATCTCCAGCTACAGTGGGGTCAGCTGCTCGCCGACCTCTCTGACCTCAGCTGCTGCAGCTGCGGCTGCCTTATTCACTCGATTCTGCTTTGTGCTCTGCTGTGGTCCATGGCATCCCATTCGGTGGTGCAGTTGCTCGGTTCGGTTCGGTTCCGTTCCGTTTCGTTCTGCTGCCTTCATTATTATGTAGTATTTGCGTATTTATGCTGCGTTTTATGCACGCTCAAGTGTTGCTGCTCCTTGTTGTGAGTCCTTGGGCACAATCGGCGTATTAATGACTTCGACTGTGGGTTAACTTGAGGCAGCTGCTCAGTGGGTGGCATCGTCTCTCGACAGATGGCAGCCGGGTATCAGGTGGCGACGGCTTAATTGCTGCCTTGGCTGTACGGTTGACAGTTGCTGCCAGCATGAAACCACTGAAAATGATTATTACGCATACGCCCCAGTGCACTGCTGCTGCTCGTGCTCCTGCTACTGCTGCTGCTGCTGCTGATGCTCCTGCTGCTGCTGCTGCTGCATACTGTTGACTGGGGACAGTTGCCACCTCGATGGCCACTGCACTCGAGCAGGCTTTGTTTTGTGGCCGTTTCCCGGTCGCCCACTCCCGCTCTCGCTCTCGCTGTCCTGTCCAAACATTCAGTGTCCGCAAAATTAATTGAAAATATTTATTATTACGTTTATTATGCTTGAATATTGGTTGAATATATATAAACATATGCATACACGCGTATATACATATATGCATATTCATATATATATCACGCTATCTCTGTCTCTTTCTCTCTCTTGTTCATTCATGCAACATATTTTTTATTTTTTACCTTTGTTGGCCATTTCTCTGCCATTTCTTAATCATTGCAGGAACACATACGCGAGTCCAAGGAGAGCAAGCTGGACGAGATGGGCCGCAATTCCAAGGCGCGTTCACGCGAGAACATATCAAGGTGAGTTAATTGAATTTAAGCAGATTTTTACCTGGCCGTTAGCCCAGACAGATTGCACCTGTTTATGGCAGCAGCTGCTTGGCTCATGCTTAATTAAAAGTTTGCATTTCGAAATTACTTGGACCAGTAGAGTGTCGGATAAGTTAAATGACTAGATTTACATATAATCTAGTATGAAATTGTTAGACAATATGCATATAGAATCATGTTTAATAAAATCTTTAAAAATTCCGGGTAATATATGTAAATTAAAATACTGAAAATTCACACAGTTCAAACTGATAGATAGATAGATATATCTGTAGTTGTATATATATAGTTCAAATTGTTATACAATATGGAGCTGCATCACGTTTAAAATTTTCAAAAATTCAATTTATCAAATATAAATTCGATTTACGCAAAACTTTTACGATTCGAACTGATGAAAGAAGTTGCTCGCCTCAACTGAATCTGTCATCAGCGGATTTCTTTGGCTGATTGAGGTCTCTTTGATTTGGTGTTTGATTGATTTGAACATTTTGGCTTTTGGATTGACTCATTGCAGACAGAAGCATTCGCAGACGTCACTGCAAATACTCGATGACGTCTCGAATCGTTACTATCGCGAGGCTGTGCCCATGTCGACGCAGTCGAGCAAGGCCGACTTTAAAGAGAAGGAGCACAGCATATTGCGCCGGAATCCGGACATGACCCAAACGAGCCTCTGCGGCGGCATCGATGGCGACGACGCCGAATCGTCCTCAACAACGACGGCAACGCATGAGATGATGACAAAGGCGGCGATAGCGACCGCACCGGTTAATGCCTGTGATATGGGCTGTCAAACGAGGTAAATGCATGGGGGATTTGTTATATATGTATGTATGTATATATATATATATATGTGTGTGTGTGTGTGTGTGTGTGCCTGGGCCTGCCCGGTCATCATCATCAGCATATGTGCAGCACACTAGACGCGCCCAAGCCATCATACAAATTGCAAAGTCAACGATGAGCAAACAGCAAAAACAATGAAAATGTTTTCATGATGCGGCTTATGATGGAAAGATGCGACCGAGCGCATGGCGCATACGTAGTATCGAAACGGCTTCGCATGGGTGCCGGGACGCCTGGCTGCCTGGGCGCAATGGGGAAAGATAGCTTGTACAAGACCCGGAAACACAGCGCCCGATGCTTGTACAACACAAATCGATGCAAATATTTATATTTGCATGCATCTTCATTGGGCTAGAATCATTTGTACACAGCTGAGTCAGAGCCAGGCCATGGCAGAGAGTCGTGGGAGTGGGTGATGAGGTGGCCTAACAATCACAACGATGACACAAGCACGCACGGCAGAGATGTGCCTCGCTCTATGCGAAGATAGTGACAGCATCACAGTGACTGTGATAGCAACGATTGTCTTATAGTGACTGTATTAAATAGACAATTATGGCCGTGAGTGTATGAGTAGTATTAGCAGTATAACAGTATATTAGTATAGAAGTATATAACAGTATAACAGAAACTATATAAAAGAGCCAGTATGAAAGTGACAAACTAACTGTGACAGTATAACATAATCAATACAAAAATGATGGAATAACATTGGTAGTATAATTCCTAGATAGTCGAGACAGTATAACATTCGTAGTGCAATATTAGTGTTTATACAGATAACAGTGGTTATACAGAAATGTGTGAAACTAAGAACATAACCATCCTAGTATAACAATGAATGCAGTACAGTAACTTCACAATTCTGATGGTTTAGCAAGGACTATATAACAGTCACCGTATTAAGTAAACGCAGAAATGTTAATAGTAAGAATATGCCTAAAAAGCAATACTTTTATAACAACAGTGAAGGTAAAGCAATGACTGTTTAAGGGTGATATTATCATATTGACAGTATAACAGTCATTTTATAACTGGTACATTATAACAGCTACTGTATATAAGTATGAGAGTAACAGTGGCGACTGTATAACAGTGACTGTTTACAAATGACAGCATCAGTAAGACCGTATAAGATTCGTATAACAATGACAGCACAACGGTGACAGTATCAGTATTAAGTGACGTATAACAGTAGTTTAAAATACTGCCTATATAATAGTCACTGTATAACAATAGTTGCAAACACTGCCTATATAATAACGGTTGAATAACAGTAGGTGTTTACTAATGTACACTACGAATAATTCATTATAAGATAGGCATAATAATGACTGATATGACAGTATAACACTGACTGTATAACACTGACCGTATAACAGTTATCATATAACATAAACTATGAAATAGTATCTATGTATGAAAATAATAGGATAGCATTAGTTGTACAAGAGTCACAGTATAACAGTGCCAATATAACACTGACAATGAAAGAGGCGGACTGATAGTAAAAATAACTTTCACATTTTCGACAGCGCCCCAAAGGCGGAGACCATATGGCTGATGATGGGGTCGGAGCAGACTCTTTGATTAAGCGCGTGGGCACGAATGTAAATGTAGATGTGGATGTGAGTGTGAGTGTGGGTCCGGGTCTGGGTGTGGGTGTGGGTTTGTTTAAGGAACGTGGAAGATAAATATTGAAATGTTTCACTTCTCTTTGCTTACACCTTCTGCCCCGCAGGGAGTCGCTGTTCGCGAACAGCCCCAGCGCCGTTGCCACGCTAATGAGACAGAAGTCCGGCTCGTCATCGCTGGGCGGGGGGAGTGTGGCTGGCGCCGTGATGCCGCCGCCACCGCCGCGCTTCTTTTCCACATTCGGCTACGAGCAGGCTGCGGCGCCGGGCCTGATGGCCGTGTCGCCGTCGCTGCCGGTGGCCACGCCTCCGCCGCCGTCAGTGGCAGCAGCGGCGGCAGCGCATCTGGGCACACTGACGCGTCGCAGTCAGATGCACTTGCCACGTGCGCCGTCGCAACACGAGTCCATCGAGCTGGAGGAGCGGCACAGCGGCGTCGGCGTCGGCAGCGGCAGCGGGCAGCGGTCGCATTATGGCGTAATAGTGGCCTCCGCCGTGAAGCCGCAAGAGATCTGCCATCATCATCATCAGCACCAGCAGCAGCAGCAGCAGCAGTTGCCGCAGCGCACGCATCATTCGCATCCTGCGCACCAGCATCAGCAGCAGCAGCTGCAGCACCAGATGCAGCTGCAGCAGCAGCAACAACAGCAGCAAGCCCCCAGCGTTGCTACGCGACTGCCGAAGGGCCACGCCCAGCTGCAGGGCCAAACGACGGTGCTGCCCAGCAAGGGCAGTGGCGGCAGCGGCGTCGGCATCGGCGGCGGCGTCGGCAAGCAGCAGAAGAATGAGGAGTCGAAAGTGTTCATTGACATACGRAATTCAGCGCCAGACGTGATTATCATGACGTCCCATTGACATTTAAGGATTGCACGCCAATCAGCAACAACAGCAGCAACAACAGCAACAGCAACTGCAACAGCAACTGCAGCAGCCATGAGCAACAGCAACAACAACAGCAACAACAACAACAACAACAACAACAACAAGGAACAGAAGCATGGCACAATGGCTGGCATATTAACCACAGCAACAGCGACGCCGTTGACACGACACGGACATGCACACGGACGCAGACACATACACAGACACAGACACGGATGCGAACTCGGACTCGGACACGGACACGGAGGCGAACATGAACGCGAACATGGAGACGGCGTGGCGCAATCAGGCAAACGAATAGCAAACGCAAACGCAAACGCCACTTTTCCGGCCGGAACACAATGTCGCATTCAATTGTATTTTTGGCTTTAAGTCCAGGTAATGTTAATTTGCCTAGCCTGGCTTTTTCCAACGGTAGCTGGGCTGGTGGCTGGAAAACTTCACCCGCTCCCTTTTCTTTAATTTATCCCTATTTAAGCGCAGCCTCTTTGCTGTCGAGCGTAGGAACAGACACTGAATGCACTTGAATGCAGAGCCGTGTACATGTCCACACACTCACATATATATACATATACATATATATAGCCAAATAGGCGCTGCTGTTCCGACCAATGTTCAACTAAACGTGCAGACACTAAGCAGACGCTCGACAACAACATTTGCCAAAGTACAACGACAGCAGGAGCAGGAGTAGCAGGAGCAGCAGTAGGAGCGGGAGCAGCAGGAGCAGGAGCAGGAGTAGCAGGAGCAGGAGCAGCAGCAGAGACAGCGACAACTGTGAGCGCTGACCACCATTTGGACATTTTGAGCGGTGTCTAGCTGCTTCGCTCTCTTTGGCTCTCGGCGCTGCCTCCGCCCTGCCCTCCTCGTGCCATCTGCGTGGCCACAGAGCAGTCCGAATCCTGTTGCTTGACTTGCGGCCAGCGTGCCCGATCCGGGAACTTCTTCATTTACATGCATGACGAACGTGACAGGGAGACGAATGGCGAATGTTGCCAGCGAGTGGGTCAGACGCAGTCCATCCATCACGTGCACGTGCAAGCAGCACCAGCAGCAGCACGTTACCCCCAGCCCCACTCCTGCTCACGCCCTCTCTCCCTCTGCTTCCTCTCTTGTCTTGCTGCCTCGGTTACCTATCAAATGGCACTGAAGCAATTTGCGTGAAAATAGTTTTTAAGTGATTTTCAGCACATTCGTCGCACGTTCGCTTGGGCCCCTCGCTGTCCCAGCTGCTTTAATGATTTTATTAAATTGTTTTTACCACCCACCTGCCGCCCTCGCCCTCGCATCCACTGTCTCTGTCATGCACCCCCCGGGGCAGAGCGAGGGCCCTGTGTGTAAATGGACATACTCAAATATCTCAACGTCAATTTGATTATCTGACTGCGTTCAGAATTCATTTTTTGACGCACAATCATCTTTGACACAGCTCCAACAGCTCGACCGGCGTTCAAGTGGAGTTGCCCCGCCTCCCTCCCCCCCTTTTCTTCCCTCTCCCTCTCCTTTTTTCGGCCACTCGGTGTCTGTTTGCACGTTTTTCCGTTTTTCACTCCCATCTGGCGCGGAAAACTGTCAACTCACAATTAGCACGGTCACCATATTGCGTTGGCGTTCAATGGCTTTTTCTTCCTCTTACCCTCTGCCCCGATTGTGAACCCGAAAAAATACATATAAAAAGAGAACTACCAGTTGAACGTGTTCCGAAATTCAATTTCGTTAAACAAGTTTCGTTTTCACCAATCTCAAAAAAAAAAAAAAAAATTCGATTTTAATTTCTTATTCGGGTGTTCCAAGAAATCAATAGAGTTTTTAAGTATTTCATGCAATAAGTGTAAATAAATAGTTTATTTTCGAATTAAATTTTGCAATTACAGATATAAAATATGTAGATTATATCTGCACGATTTACTAACTTACAGTTCATGCTAAAAATAATCAACTGACATAATGATATATTTAAGAACTTTAAAATTAAGCTAAAATGTTGGTGTATAAAATGAATGGAGAATTTAAAATGTTTTGAAATTTGTTAAGTTTTCATAATACTTAAGCGTTCTTTGTATGGCGCATCCATGATTGATCAATCAATGGTTAATTCCCATCAATCATGAATGCATAATCAATGATTGATTTACATTTACTTTTTGCTTATACCGAGTCAATGATTGATGAGCTTGATAATTTTTTTTCTGATTGATCAATCAATGATATACACAATTTACAATTTTTTGTATGCACAGAATCAATGATTGATCAATCAATTAAGAGTACTTTCTTAATGCTAAAAATTACATCATGTGGTGAATCCATGATTGATATCATTGTCTACTTTCTCTATGTGCAGATATATGATTGATATCAATCAATGATTGATAATGTATTTAATGTGTGATCAACAAGTCAATGATTGATCCCTCATCAGTGATTTGTCTGTTTTTCCAAAATGAATCTACGATTGATTAATGAATGATTGATTCATTTGATTACTAACTTCATATACAGAATCAGTGATTGATCAATCAAAGACTGATTCATACCTTTCTAATATATAAAATCAGTAATAAATCTACCTAGTTCCGTTCATTATGCTTAACATCGCGGATTGATTGATTGAAATGTAGATTGATTCATGTTCTTGCTGACAATTTTTCTCGCATTTCTTTTCCTTTTCAATTTAATTGTATTTTTTTTTCTTTTTTTTTTTTTGTAAATTTTTTGTTGTAATTTGGATAAAAGCGAAAAGTTTAGAATATTTGGAATGGACYGACGCATGCTGACAGAGACAAGTGTGAGATGTCTGAGTGAGGGGCGGCGTCTGGGGCGTGGCTGCGTGGGAATGGTACTAAGCTAAAAATGCCAAGCAATTTGATTGATTGAATTGAACGAGGAGGAACGACACGGGCAATGATGATGATGAGCTGAAGAAGAGTAAAATAGAAGGCAACGGGCAGCCGATTGGCAAGCGGTCAAAGTGTGGGGCAGGTGGGGCAAGTGGCACAAATGGGGCGTGGCCGATGTCAATKGCGATGGCAATGGCAATGGCAATGGCAAAAACCGCTCATTACTCTCCACATGATGCGCTTGTCATGCAGCCTTGCAATTTGAAGCAGGAGTCATTAGCAGGATTAAAGGCTGATTACAAACGGTTAGACGTTAGCTGGCCAAAGTCAATGCCGCCACTGAGAGCAGAGGCTGAAGCAGCAGCAGCAGCAGCGGCAGCGGCAGCGGCAGCAGGCGACAACTTGTAGATGCACATAAAAGATGACCCAGCTCAAAGCCAGAGACAGTTGGACACATCACAAGAGCCCGGCGTCAAATTAAATTTTGTATTCTCCGACAACCGCAAAAGTCATTAAAAATATGAGAATTCTGCTCAAAGTTGGTGGCGAAAAAACACGCAGCCCATTGGCCGTGCAATGAAAAATACAATTCAACCAAAAACATGCCGGTTCATTATATTGAATTGTTAACTTTTTTTTTTTTTTTTTTTTTTTT